GGTGACCAGATGAAACGACAAGGACACACACTGTACGGCTTTGGAGGCCAAAGAATGAAGAATTGACATGACGGATAAACTTTAGAGTTAGCAAGCGTGTGGAGGAAAGACTGAAATTTTTGTGATAGCCTCCAGCAGGACTGCAAGCTCTTAATTATGTTTTAATTTTGCTTACATTATTAATTTTCATTATTTCCCCAAGTGATACCTGTTTAATATCGTGTATCTGTGTACTTGTTGTTGCTTATTTTTTTGTAGCTGTAGCAAGACTTAAAGTTATACAAAGAAAACAAGGAGAATTAAATTGCCTTTTTCGTATCTACATTTGTTTGTAGTCCATGTTCATTTTACTGCCTCATCTGTATCCATGGGGGGACTAAGGCGAGGTTAGTGTGGCGCACATGTAACATGAAAACCTCAAAGAACCATGCTTAGAATATTCAAATACAAATTTTAGAATAAAGCAGGTTCCGCATGCGTGTCGAAATAACAAAACCAGTCTAATCCACACGGGCATTGGGACAGTGGGTAACACCATAATTAGCGAATGAGAACCCGAAACAAGAACAGGCGGACTGTCAAAAGCACGGAAATGCCCGAGTGACACTTTTTGAGACATTCACTCCGACGAAACGCAAACGGTCGAAACGTCATTTTTAGAAACTCTCCTCCGTGTTTAATTTACATTATCAACTCAGATAAAATCAAATTCTCTCGTAGTGCCCCCACCGCAGTAGCATCACAGTTTCCTCCAAAACGCGCCCCCTTTGTTCATTTGCAGTTTAGATTTCTGCCAAAAACTTAACGGTTTCGCTCAAATTCAGTAGCCTGTGGACTACTATAATCTCGTATTCAGATCTTACTGTTTATCTGTAAGGGAAGTGTAGGTTCCAACCGCTTGGCCGTGAAAGGGGTGGGTAGGAAACTATCTACGAGCCTACCATCTCTGCCGGTGAGAAGGCTTGAGACGAATCGGGGAGAGGTTTGCCGGGGGTCTGGCACTACCTGCAGACCTCTAGCTGACTACTCTACAGAGGACAATAGAGAATTGGCTGCCATTGAACTGCCAATAAGGTAGCTAAGGATCATAAGAATGGCGTATGGGGGAGTCAGGTAAATTCTATCGTGACAACCAAAATCCTCCGACCCTCAACTCTCGTCCTGCGATAAACAATGATCAGTCCATCATTAAGCCACTAATTTTTTCAGCGTTTGTTTTACAGTTATAGAACATGAACGAGAAATCCAACGAGCTGTACAAACGCACTGTTACACATGTTAAGCGAATAGTGGTAATCAAGGAAAACTGATAATCAACTTATTTTGTTTTAACTTCCCATCTCAGCACCGGCCACAACCATCTGCCGAGATCCAAGGACTGTTTACTTCAACGTTGAATGACGGAGGGTACTATCGTTGTTATCCTCAGTAAGGCTTGTGAGAAGTTGGCCTGCAAAAATATTTGTCTGAAATAGCGGCTCCTAGCGAAAATCATGAACAAATTGTATTATAACCAGTTTTCGCAATTTTTGCCCATATTCACCGAACTTGAAGATCTTCGTTCGACTTGTGTCGCTAACTGTGTCTTTAACATTTTCCTTCGTTCATCTTCATCTCAGATACCAGGGGCTTGTGACCCACAGGCGTGTTGTTATTGTTGTGATTGGCATATGGATGTATAGTGTATTTGTTTCTTTGATGATATTGTGGTGTTGATGATATAGTACTCGGGATCTTGTAGGTACAATTAATTTTGCTTTCAGTTTTATTATCACATTCGTGGTGTATATCAAAATATATCTAACTGTGCGACGGCACAAAAATCATACTCAGTCCATGCAAATACGAAACGAAGCTTAGTCTGAGGAGATAAAAAACTTTATTGTCCTCATTACATCCACAGTTGGCATATTCTACGTATATCTTGTGTTTTGAATTTGTTATTTGCCCTACCTCATTTGAAAGGCTGTTATTCAAATCCACGGCTCGAGTATCGTTTTTTTGATGAGTTCTCACGCACTGAAAGACGATCTCACTCAACTCGGCGAAAAAATCGGTAAATTGAAAGAAGAATGCTCCAGGATCTCTGCCTGCAACGTGATCCATTCAACAAAATCTGCGCAAACAGATGCTTTATAACTCTATGCCCGTAAAAAACTTGTTCTCATTAAGGTAAGTGCAATCTTCTTCGCGGACTTTATCTCACTCCTTGTTAGAGTAATACTTCTTTAGAAAAAATTGATTATATTAAAAATTTGTTAGATTATATTCTGTGGCAATTCTAAAATATCTTTCAAAATCTCAGAGAATATTTCTAAAAGCCTCGATTTCTCCTGGTTTTCACGAACAACAGAACGGGGATCAAACTTCGCCAAGGGAGTTTCGGGGGGGGGGGATGATCAGTCTTCGCCAATATAGAGAGATTATTAAAAACTAACACGCTTTTAAGGAGGGAGGGGGTAATAAGAATATTACAATCTTATGGGGGATAATGTTGTTTTTATCTTGACACAACCAAAATCCTCCTTAGGAAATAAATAAAACATAAAAAAGCTTTCAAGATTACAACAATACGTTCTGAACAATAAGCAATGTTTGGTTTAGTTATCTTAACCGATAATCAGTTATGGAACTTTCGGTATCACCGGTTTTCTAACACTGACTTCGCTTTTCCCAAATGAGTTTTTGCAGTAATCGTTGCTTTTAGCAGTAAAAGCGTTTAATATGAGTTTCTACAGAAGAAAGCCATTAAAAAAAGTTCACGTGTAATATATCTTCCTGGGAGACTGCTCATTATTTATCGCCTGTGAGGGGAGGGGAGGGCGTTAGAGGATCTTGGTCGAGTCACAACAATGTTTACACAGCCCCCCATAGGGTTCTATAAGATTCCTACGACCCCTCCCTCCCTTGTTGACAGTTGATTGGCAGTCAATTTACTATAGTCCCCTATTAATACTCTGTTGGCGACGACTGCCCTCCCCCCCCCCCCCTTCCGCTTTCCTTAACCCTTTAACTCCCAAGATCTGATTGTTAATTCTCCCCTCTACCTGCTACACATTTTCTTGTAAGTAAGTTACAAGAATTTGATGTTAGATCAAGGTAACAACTTCTACCTGATAAGTTTAAGTATTCTCATTACCTGTTCGCTGGATAATGTATGGATATTTTAGAGAGAAATTAGTTTTAAATCATTCCTGGGAGTTAAAAGGTTAAAGCCAGGAGAAATCGACGCTGTTACAAATAATCTCCAAGATTTTTGAAGACATCTTCAAATCATTACGTAATCATCATGGATAAGCCCGAAATTTAAGCCGTCGATTATCTCAACAAAAGCTTTCAAGCACTTTCATTACGAGACTAATTTTTTGACTACATTTTACATAATTGACGCATTAACTTGTCTAGAAATTGGTCGGCGTTTTAGGTAGGTTTTCTTTCGCCACCGCGGCTGAAAAACAGCTCAAACAACGAAAACACTGTGAAAAGCGCTGCTTTTTGGTTGTCGGTGTGGAAAAAGTGCTTTTTAGAGAAGGTAACTGCCAAGGAAATCGAAAATTACGAACCGACCCAGCTTGACACTTTGCTCGAGCGAAATTAAAAACAAACATGGTTAAACCTTGGAAACGACGATTCCATTTCATCGTAAGTGATTCGGACACAGAATGAACAATTCCTTGAACTGTTTAGCCGGAATTTGAACTTTTTTGCGCCTTGAAGATATGAAGATATCATTACATATTATTGTTTTGAACGTACGCGGTTGTTTTGACCGAACGCACGGTTTGAATAAATTATTTTTGCACTTAATGCGCGCGCTTTGCTTACGCTTAATTAGGATAAGCTATTTCGTATTTTTTCATTTTTATTATTAACACGTAATATGATTTTTCTCGTGCAATTTGGAATAAATAAGTACTTGTTAATTTTTTCAAAGACCACAAATTGCACTCGCCCTACTGGCTCGTACAATTTTGTTAGTCTCTAAAACAATTTACTCGTGCTTATTTATTCCAAATTGCACTCGAAATCATGTGATTACCTATACAAATTATGTACACTTAAATCTTCCTCCAAATTATCGTAAACCAAGAAAGAACCATTTCGATCAGCATGGTCACGCGAGAAGTGTGCCGTCACAGTAAAATTCAGTAATTAAAAATAAAGGTTGTATACCATATCATCGGAAGAAGTAAATAATAAACGCTTTAATTGGTCACAACAAGCTACTCGAAGGCTACTTTCCGTTTTGTTTTGTTTTTTCTTATTTTCCAAACAAGCTTAGTTAATCGTCAGACTTGTGCAAACGAAACCAATAACGATGAAAATCTTTCTAATTGCAAATAGTTCACATTGTTTCAATGATGTTAACAATAAAAGTCACCCTTCAAAGTGAAAAGTGGTAAATTGAAAGAAAAATACTGCGTGATATCTGCCTGCAATGTGTCCATTAATTAAAATTAGTGCAAACATATGCTTTATAACTTTATGCCTGTAAAATTATGTTCTTATTATGGTAAGAGCAATTTTCTTTGCGGACTTTATCTCATTCCTTCTTAGGGTAATACTTCTTTGGAAAAAAGTTGATTATATTGATAATTAAAACTCGCTTTTTCATGAGTAAAAGCAGCTTTTTTGAAGATGCTTCAGGGGAATTCCCCTCTTATCAACATATGCCTAAATGAAAAATGACATCGAAGTTTTGAGCCATGTACTGTCGTGAGCCTGAACAGGTTTGTTCTGTTTTAACCTCCTTAGAATACATAACCAGGCTGAGGCAAAAAGCAAATGAAGTTCGTTTAATTTAGGAATTTGCTGAAACACACAATAACCAAACCAGCTTTCCTGTTTAATTGGCCTTTTCCTGATAATTTGATGTATTGCGTATTTAACGTTCGACTGAAAACACAATTATCACTGAGTTTATGTACATTGTTTTTTCCTCTCTAACTCCTTTGTTGCCAACAAACCGTGCACAGTCCTTGTTAGACGCACAGAGTGGATCAGTTTTCAACTTGGGCAATACTCGATGATCGATTGTAGTTTATCCGTAATGGCCGATTGCTGTTCCAAGACATCTTTCGCAGTATGTCCATGATAGCGTGTCGAACGTGTCTCATCTTCCAGCAGTAAATGACAGGGTTCAAAGATGAATTTAGATACATGAGAGTCGTGGAGTAAAAATAAAATTGACTTAAAGCGATACTCGAGCCATAGATTCCAATAACAGCCAAGCAAATTAAAAAAGGCAAATAACAAATCATGAACACGAGATATACGTAGAATATGCTTACTGTGGATTTAATGAGAACAATAAAGTTTTTTATTTCATCAGAATGCGCTACTTGTTGTACTTGCGTAGAATGAATCTGATTCTTGTGCCGTCGGACACTAAAATATATCCTGATATACACCACGAATGTGATAATGAAACCCAAAGCTGCAATAATTGTACATAGAAGATCTCGAGTACTCGGAAGCCCCCACAGTATCATCAAAGAAATAAATGCACTGCACACCCATTTGCTGATCATCACAACAACAACACGCTTGTGAGTCACAAGCTCTTGATATCTGAGATGAAGATGAACAGCTAAGAACCTGTCTACACTTACAGCCACAACACCAAGGAACGAAGCAGTTGAGAATAAATAACCTGAAATACTCAGCACTAGGTAAGTGTTACAGTTAAGATTGTCCAGTTGTAACCACTTGACCAGAGAAAAAGTGTATATAGGTTGGCTAAACAAACCAACAGCAACATCAGAGCAGGCAAGACTCAGCAGCAGAGTTTTTAAAGTTTTTGCCATTGCCGAAGTTTTGCGTATAGTGTAGATTGTCACAATATTCAACATGATGGAGGTGTAAGTAAAAAAATTGTTAAAGATACAGTTGGCGACAAAAGTCGAACGAAGACCTTTAAGCTCGGCGTATGTGAATAAATATTGCTCGCCACAGTACAATTCGTCCATGATATCAACTCACTCATAAAAGATAGGACCCTCTATTCCAGACAAACACAATGTGTTGCGATATTACTCTTTGGGAAGACAGTTTCTCCTTATTTCGGGCAGTGATTCAAAATGTTACCTTTTCTCCCAAAAGTGATGAACTTCAACAAAAGGAATACTCTTAATTCTCGCAATATGGGGTTTTGGGATGACAGCCTGTGACAAAGAAAGAACTTACGTCAGACAAATTAATTTACATATGGAGGCAGTCAAGATGTTCAATTGTATTTTGAAATCGACATTTTTTTCTCTCGAGGCTTATTTTTAATCATATACCTTAGAGATGTTAATACCCATACTAACACAAAATAAAATGTGTCCTTGAAAGCCTCCCTTGCCCCAGCCCCTAGCTCCGCCGTCCCTGAGGTATTCATGTATCACCATAAACGATACTCGAACGCCGATTGTAAAATTACGCCAGATGGCTGATTTGTTCTCCAAGATATGTTCTTCGGTATTTCTATGAGAGCGCGTTGAATGTGTCTCACCTTTAGCAGTAAATGACAATGTGCTATGGACCTCTTTCTAATACCTCAATTCTCGCTATTTGCGAATCAGTTTTTTCAATAATCGTTCCTGTTAGAAGTAAATGCGTACAATTTGGGTTTCTATAGGAGAAAGCCATTAAAAATAATTCATCTGTCATGTATCCTACAAAAGGAAGGGTCAATATTTATTTTTTGGGGGGAGGAGGGCAGGGGATTCCGTAGTACACATGATTTATTCATATCAAAGTTTCCGTCGCTCTTAATTTAAAATCAGAATTAAAAACCAATAACGGTGGTTGCGGACTTAAGCTTCGGAAAAGTTTTCTTCTTTTCCTTGTAAATTTTCCCAAATAATTGCCAACTGTTTTGCCAACTGTTTTGCCAACTGTTTTGCCAACTGTTTTGCCAAATCTTGCACGTCTGTCAGAAGTTAAAACTTTAATTGATCCTGCTATAAAACAGTATAGCGTCACATTGAGAGCGTCTCATAATACCTTCAGAAAAAAAAACAAAAAGGGATTAGCATTAACGAGGGAAGAAGAATCGATGTTAATAATTAGCTAATGAGTGGATTCAATACGAAAATGGATTAAACAACATACTTGAAAATTAAACAAACAACGAAAAGCATCGAGTTTACCTTAACACTTTGAGGTAAAAACTTAGTGAAAGCAAAATGCTGCGTATGAAAACAAAAACAGACCAAATGTTACGAGACCAAAAGTTCCATTACGTATGTTTTATTAATATTTTAGCACATAGCTAACATAGCTAGCTGTCACTCTGGGATAAAATTTAAAATGAGCTCAATATTTTTTCTTTACTCTTTGAATCGCATATTTCTTAATTCATCTCTGAACCCTGTAATTAACTGCTGGAATATGAGACACATTGGACACGTCATCGTAGACATACTGCGGAACATGTCTCGGAGATGAAATCGGCCAGCGTAATTTAAAATCGGTCCTCAGGTGTCTTTTGCATCAATAACTAAAATCTTCTGTGCGGCTAACAAGCACTTTGTGCGGTTTGCTGTCGATAGAGTAAACAGGGATTCAATAACATGTCCCAATGGCCAAAATTATTGTGCAGTTCAATTTTTTAATGACGTAATGTATTTAGGAATTGCAGTAGCAAAGACGAAGAGATTAAATTGAATAGTAAAGCTGGTTTCACTTTAGTGAGATGTTGTTATTATGAAGGTACTTGAAGAGGAAGGAAATAGCAGGTACACGAGAGTCAGTTTTTTTCTTTAGTGAGATGTTGTTATCATGAAGGTACTTGAAGAGGAAGGAAATAGCAGGTACACGAGAGTCAGTTTTTTTCTTTAGTGAGATGTTGTTATTATGAAGGTACTTGAAGAGGAAGTAAATAGCAAGTACACGAGAGTCAGTTTTTTTCTTTAGTGAGATGTTGTTATCATGAAGGTACTTGAAGAGGAAGGAAATAGCCAATAATAAAATGAAAGAACAGCATCAACATGGATCTCAAAATAGACATGTAAAGATAACAACAAGCCGCTTGGACTCAGGAAAGGGTGACCACCACTGCTTATTCCTTTACACCCTAACATCAGTATGCATATTCTCCATACTGTTCTCTATACATTTCCAATGACACTGACAAGGAGAATTTGCGTAACAAGAAAGAACTGCTTTTATTTGGTGATCATTTCCAATTTTCTCATAACCTCAATGTGTGACGCAGGGTTGATGCTGTAAAGAGAAATTAGAAGCTAGTCACCCTTAGGGGTCAAAGGATTAATAGAGGTGACCGCTTGATGGAGGTGAAAATTACACTAACTAAGGGTTACCATTTTCAACACTTTAACAAACGACCGCCCAATACAGGGTGACCGCTAATGTGGTGCCGCTTCGTACAGGTGCCATTGTATTCCTATCTGACTCTTTGTAAAACGTCATGACAAGTTATTTATACTTGTCAATTAATTTTTTGTTCCTGCTGATCAATATTTTGACAAATTTCGCATAACTTAGTTCCTTCTAATATATAATTTTGGCCAAGAGATTGTAAACAGTTTATGATCTCTTGTTTTGGCCAAATCGAGAAATTAAAGTCCCGCGAAATTAATTAATTAAAAAAGCGCATTTCAAGTCTCATTTGCGAAGAAGCTCGTGGTTGTATGTATGCCTCCTTGAGGCTATCAAAAAAAATTTCAGTATTTCCTTTACACCCTTGCTAACTCTTCATTCTTCTGCTAAGTTCTTCATTCTTCAGCCTCCAAAACCGTAGAGCGTGCGTTTTTGTCGTTTCAGCGGGTATACAACGTCCATGGCGGTCACAGTCTTGCACTTAGCGTGCTCAGTGTATGTCACCGCGTCGCGTATTACGTTTTCGAGGAAAACTTTAAGAGCTCCATGAGTTTCTTCCCAAATGAGACCTGAAATGCGCTTTCTTATGTTTTATTAATATCCTAGTTAACATAGCTGTCACACTGAAATAAACGAAGGCAATTAAAATGAGCTTAATCTTAAGAACATGAACGAGAAATTGAATGAGCTCTACAAACGTGCAGTTACACTTGTTAAGCGAATGGATGTAATCAAGGAAGACTTATAATCATTTTCTTGTAGCTTCCTATCTCATCACCGGCCGCAACCATCTGCTGAGATCCAAAGACTGTTTACTTCAACGTTGAATGACGGAGGGTACTATCGTTGTTATCCTCAGTAAGGCTTGTGAGAAGTTTGCCCGCTAAAATATCGCAAACCATTCAGTATTTGTCTGAAATAGCGGCTCCTAGCGGAAATCATGAGCAAATTGTTTTGTAACCAGTCTTCGCAGTTTTTTCCCATATTCACCGAACTTGAAGATCTTCGTTCGACTTGTATCACCAACTGCGTCTTTAACATTTTTCTTACTTACACCGCCTTCATGTTGAATATTGTGACAATCTATGCCATACACAAAACTGCAACAATGCCAAAAACTCTGAAAACTCTGCTGCTAAGTCTTGCCTGCTCGGATGTTGCTGTTGGTTTGTTTATTCAACCGTTATACACTTTCTTTTTGATCAACTGGCTTCGATTAGACAATCCTGGCTGTAACACTCAACAGGTGCGGACGATTTTAGGTTATTTATTCTCAACCGCTTCGTTCCATGGTGTTGTGGCTGTAAGTGTAGACAGGTTCTTAGCTGTTCATCTTCATCTCAGATACCAAGAGCTTGTGACTCACAGGCGTGTTGTTATTGTTGTGATTGGCATATGGGTGTACAGTGCATTTTCCTCTTTGATGATATTTTGGGGGCTTCTTGGTACTCGGGATCTTATAAGTACAATTAATATAGCTTTCAGTTTTATTATCACACTCGTGGCGTACATCAGGATATATCTAACTGTACGACGGCACAAGAATCAGATTCGGTCCATGCAAATACGAAACGAAGCTCATTCTGAAGAGATAAACTTCAGTGTCCTCATTAAATCCACAGTTGGCATATTCTACGTATATCTCGTATTTTTAATGTGTTATTTGCCCTATTTCATTTGCATAGCTGTTATTCAAATCTATAGCTCGAGTATCTCCTTAAAGAAACTTTTCCTTTACTCGCTGACTCTCGCGTACCTGAATTCATCTTTGAACCCTGTCATTTACTGCTGGAAGATGAGACACGTTCGACACGCTATCATAGACATACTGCGAAAGATGTCTTGGATCAGCAATCGGCCATTTCGGATCAACTACAATCGGTCATCGAGTGTCGTGCATATTGATAACTGATGCCTTCTGTGTGGCTTACAAACACTACATACAGTAGTTGTTTACTACAAAGTGAAATAGGGACAAACAAGATTGTACCGCATAAACTTTGTGATATGATCCAGCAGTCAAACGATCGCTTAGTTCTAATTTTAATTACTCAATAAATCGAATAATCTGTAGTGTGATAGGGAAAGGCTAATTTGAGCAAGAAAGCTGGTTTTGTCATCGATGGATAGTGAAATTGTAATCATGGATGTAAATAAAAGTAGGATACGACTCAAGATTTTATTCACATCAAGGCTTCTGTCGCTCTTAATTTCAAATCAGAATTTAAAACCAATAACGGTGGTTGCGGACTTAAGCTTCGGAAAAGGTTTCATTTTTCCCTTGTAAATTTTGCCCATAACTGCTAACTATTTCGCCGAATCTCTTAAAACTAGTACTGGCAACTAAGTGACATGCCAGCTTCAAATAAAACAGAAGGAAATGTTTTGCCATCCATCCTTCTGCCTCAAAAGCAGAATTCCCAAATTACTCTGTAATAGTGGAAACGAACTTCTTCTTTAGTTAATAAACAGACAGCCCCTTGACTCCCCTTAATGTGTAATTTGAAGAATTTCTCAAGCAAACAGGTAATAAGAATGAGAGAGATGATCAATTTGGGGACATAGTATGGATAGTAAGAATGTCAGGACTAAACAACAAATAAAAATAAGGTATGATCATGAGCGAAGGGAATAAACTTCCAGTTCTTTCATTAGAAGTTAAAAACTTTAATTGATCCTATGATAAAAAGATATAGCGTCACATTGAGAGCGTCTCGTGATGCCCTCAGGAAGAAAAACAAACAGGAGCTAGTATTTACGAGGGAAGAAGAATCCATGTTAATCATTCGCTAGTGAGTGGATTCAAAACGAAAATGTATGATCAATATCCTTGAATATAAACAAACTACAAAGAGCATCGAGTTTGTCGTAACGCTTTTGAGGTAAAAACGTAGTCGAAGTAGAATGATGCATATGAAAAGGGAAACAGAGGTGGCTTTAGAGTTATTGATTATCCTGGAGATGTTTGCTGGTGGTTCTTGATAACAACGGGAGTTTTGAGAACTTAAAATGAAGTTTGTTATTTCTTTTGTTTATATGCAAATAACAGATAGGTTTTGAAATCATTATGACAATTCTTTGCAATTTCTAGACAAGTTGATGGGTCAATAAAATGAAATGTTTTGAAAACATTTGTCTCGAAATAAAAGTGTTCAAAAGTTTGTTTATACAGATAATCGACGGCTTAAACTTTGGGCACATCTATGATGATTATGTGGCAATTTGGAAATGCCTTTCAAAATCTCGGAGAATATTTCGAAAACCCTCGATTTTTCCTCGTTTTCAGGGGCAACAGAGTGGGATCAGTCATCAGTCATCGCCAAGAGAGTTTGTGTGTGTGTGGGGGGGAGGCTAAAAAAACCTGCCTTGGAGGATATTTGTAACAGCGTCGTTTTTTAGCTTTCTTACAAGCTGACAAGGCAACAAGGCAGGTGGGGGTAATAAGAAATATTACAGTCTTATGGGGGATAATGTTACTTTTATCTCGACATAACCAAAATCCTCCTTAGGAAATAAATAAAACATCAAAAAGCCTTCAAGATGATAACAATACATTCTGAACAATAAGCAATGTTTGGTTTAATTATCTTAACCCATAATAAGTTATGTAACTTATGGAACTTTTGGTATCACTGATCTCGCTTTTCCTGAATGAGTTTTTGCAATAATCGTTGCTTTTAGAATTAAATGCGTATAATCTGAGTTTACAGCAGAAAGCCCTTAAAAATAGTTCATCTGTCATTTATCCTCCTAAGAGACTGGTCATTATTTATCACCTGTGGGGAGAGGGGGGTGTTAGAGGATCTTGGTCGAGTCACAACAATCTTTACACAGCCCCCCATAAGATTCTATGAGATTCCAATGACCCCTCCCTCCTAGCTGACAGTTAATCGGTCAGTCAGTCTCCTCTTAATACTCTGTTAGCGACAACTGAAACCCCTTCCGTCTTTCCTTGGAGCCAGGAAAAATCGACGCTGTTACAAATAATCTCCAAGATTTTGAAAGACATCTTTAAATCACCACGTAATCGTAATGGATAATCCTGAAATTTAAGCCGTCGATTATCTGTCAAATAAAACAAACTTTTATAACGAGAATAACTTTTTGACTATATTTTACATAACTGACCCATGAACTTGTCTAGAAATTAGAAAGAATTGTTAAATTAATTCAAAAACCTATCTGCTATTGCGTCTAAGCGAAAGGAGATTACAAAGAAAAACATACTTAATTTTAAATTCATAAAATTCCCGGTGAGCTAGTGTCATGTAAAATCTCATTGAAACATATGCAGACTAATCAATAACTTTCGTTTTCGCATGCAGCACTCTGTTTTGAATAAATTTTTACCACAAAAGTGTAACCAAAGGCAATCGAATTACTCTTCGCTGTTTGTTTAGTTTTCAAGCATATCAATCAACCCATTTTCGTTTTCCATTCACTCGATAGACAATGATAAACAATAATTTCCCTTTCCCTCTTAAATACGTGCTCCTGGTTTCTTCTCTTCCTGAGAAAAAACGTGACGCTCCAGATGTGACGCTATACCATTTCATCGTGGAATCATTTAAAGTTTTTAACTTCTTAAGAAAGAGCTAGGAGTTTATTCTCTTCACGCATGGTCGTAACTTATATTTATTTGCTGTTTATTCCCGAGCATCTTACTATCAATACCATGTCCCTAAATTGATCTTCTTTGTCATTCTCATTATCTGCTTGCTCTAAACTTTCTTTAATTACACTTTAGTAGGGGGAGTTAAAGAGTTGACTGTTTATTAATATGAGCACCGTATACTCCTCCAACACGCTATTTTAAGCCACTTAAATTATGTCTTAAATGTGCGTGAAAATTATCATAAACCAAGAAAGAACTATCCCGATCAGCATGGTCACGCGAAAAGTGAGCTGTCGCGGTAAAATTCATTCGTTTAAGATAAAAGTTATATGGCATATCATTGGAAATAGTAAATTCCGTAGGAAATAGTAAAAACGCTGCAATTGATCACATTAAGTTATTCAAAAGCTATTTTGGTTTTTTTTTTGTTTGTGTGTGTTTTCCTATTTTCCAAACAAACCTAGTTAATCGTCAGACTTGTGCAAACGAAAGCGATAAAACTCTTTTTGATTGTAAATATTTCACATTGTCACAATGATGTTAGCAATACAAGTTATCCTTCGAAGTAAAAAGTGGTAAATTGAAAGAAAAATACTGCAGGATGTCTACATACAGCGTGATCCATTCATTAAGATTAGCGCAAACAGATGCTTTTAACTCTATGCCTGTAAAAGTTTTTTCTCATTTAGGTACGAGCATTGGTCTTCGCGGACTTTATCTCACTCCTTCTTAGGGTAATGCTTCTATGAAAAAAAAATGATTACATTCATAATAAAAATTCGCTTTTTCATGAGTTATAGCAGCTTTTTTGAAGATGCTTCGAGGGAATTCCCCTCCGGATCAACATATGGCTAAATAAAAAAAATGACTTATCGAAGTTTTGAGCCATGTATTGTCCTGAGTTTATGTACAATATTCTTTCTCCCCATTTACTTTGTGGTAAACAAACCGTGCACAGTCCTTGTTGGGCGCACAGAGTGGATCAGTTATCAACATGGATGACACTCGATGATCGATTGTAGTTTATCCGTAATGGCCGATTGCTGGTTCTAAACATCTTTCGAAGTATGTTCACGATGGCGTGTCGAACGTGTCTCATGTTCCAGCAGTAAATGACAGGATTCAAAGATGAATTAAGAAATATGAGAGTCATTGAGTAAAGGAAAAATTGTTTTAAAGCGATACTCGAGCCATAGATTCGAATAACAGCCGTGCAAATTAAAAAAGGCAAAGAACAAATCAACAACAAGAGATATACGTAAAATATGCTAGCTGTGGATTTAATGAGAACAATGAAGTTTTTTGTTTCATCAGAATGAGCTACTTCTTGTACTTGCATAAAATGAATCTGATTCTTGTGCCGTCGTATAATTAAATATATCCTGGTGTACACCACAAATGTGACAATGAAACCGAAAGCTGCAACAACTGACTCTGTAATATTCCGAGTACTAAGCAACCCCTACAATGCTATCGAAGAAACAAATGCACTGCACAATTATTTGCCGATAACCACCACCACAACAAGCTTGTGAGTCACAAGCTCTTGATATCTGAGATGAAGATGAACAGCTAAGAACCTGTCTACACTTACAGCCACAACACCAAGGAACGAAGCAGTTGAGAATAAATAACCTGAAATATTCAGCACTTGGTAAGTATTACAATTAATTTTGTCCAGTTGTAACCACTTGACAAGAAAGAAAGTGTATATTGCTTTGCTAAACAAACCAACAGCAACATCTTAGAAGACAAGACTCAGCAGCAGAGTTTTCAAAGTTTTTGCCATAGCCGAAGTTTTGTGGATGGCGTAGATTGTCCCAATATTCAACATGATGGGGGTGAGTTATAAAATTGTTAAAAATGCAGTTGGTGTTAAAAGTCGAGCGAAGATATTTAAGTTCAGTGTATCGGGGAAAATAATCCAAAGACTCGTTACAAAATAATTCGTTCATGATATCAACTCACTCATAAAAGATAGGACCCTCTATTCCAGACAAACAGAATGTGTTGCGATTCTTTAGCAGGCCAGTCTCTCCTTATTTAGGGCAGCAAATGTTGAGCTGATTCCACTTTCTGCGTAAAATGTTACCTTTCCTCCCAAAAGCGAAAAAATTCATCAAAAAGAATCCTCTTAATTCTCGCAATATGAGTTTTTGGGATGTGGAAGAGGCAGTCAAGATGTTCAATTGTATTTTGAAATCGATACTTTTCTCTCGAGGCTTGTTTTTAATGATATTTCTTGAATATGTTAATACTCATACTAACACAAAATAAAATGTGTCTTTGAAAGCCTCCCTTGCCCCAGCCCCTAGCTCCGCCGTTCCTGAGGTATTTTGCAGTAATCGTTGCTGTTCAAAGGAGATGCATACAATTTGGGTTCTACAGCGGGAGAGCCATTAAAAAATA